GCAACCTCCGCCTCCTGGGTTCAGGCAATTCTCCTGCCTCAACCTCCTGAGTAGCTGGGATTACAGGCATGCACCACCATGCCCAGCTAATTTTTTGTATTTTTAGTAGAGGCGGGGTTTCACCATGTTGACCAGGATGGTCTCGATCCACCCACCTCGACCTCCCAAAGTGCTGGGATTACAGGCTTGAGCCACCGCGCCCGGCCCCAAGTTTCTGCTTTTTGAGCAGATTTCCGACTTTCAATCAGAAATCTTGAGAGTCAGATTTCGGATTCATATTTGAATATGAAGGGACAGGTTTTTTAACTTAAAGTTGATTTTTTTTTTTTTTTAGAATAGGATTAGTTATAGAAAGGCAAAACTGTTTCCTCACCTTTGATAAAGAAGCAAAATGTTTCACTTCACATGGCAAATTGACAGAATATAACAACTGGTCCTCATTGCCAGCCAGGAAACAGTAGCAGTGCCTGGACTCATGTGACTGTGGCTGTCCAGCCACCCCGTGGCACACAGGAGGCTCTCTGTCAGCTGTGGCAGGGACTGGGCCGGCTGTCCAACAGGCTGCAGACATGGCCAGCAGCTGGTGGAGTGGTGAGGCCGCCCACAGCCATGAAGATGGTTTCATTAGCGCTGGTGGAGGAGGGAGCCGATGCGAAGCCTAGTCATCCTTTCCCCAAAGCACTGCTGATGAGTAGAGCGATTTTACTTCAATGGAACACGCTTCACATTTCCATTCTGAAGACCCCCCTGTGGATGCCAGTGTGTCGGTGCCGTGGCTGTCCACTTAGCTCAGCACGTGTGGTTAAAATGTTTTCATTATTCCTCAGCAGATTGTACACTTGCTGGCAGAATACAAGAGCTCTCTGCAGTGCACATGGAAGGACATATTTATTTTCCCACGCATGCTTCAAAACATTTCTGCTGCAAAACCCAAGTGTGAAGCCTCGACCAAGAATGAGGTGCTACAGGACATAGATGGGAGGGGAGGTAACTCAGGGGGCAGGTGACGGGGCTGGGGCAGCTCCTGATGGACCCCGTCAGAAGAGCACTGTTTACCTGGAGGGTGCAGCCTGCCCCCAAACCCCTATGCCTCACTGTACCCCCTATCTCACCCCCACCCCACGGGATGCCCTCACCTCAAGGATCTTGGCACTGTACTCAGAGCCACGTAGCTTTGAGTTCTTCCAGATAAATGCATAGCCACACTTTTTCTCTCATCGTCATTGCAGCTTTAAATTTTATCATCTGTTCTCAATACTAAATCTGGTAATTTAAAACATTCTTCAAAATCAAGTGATGACCACTTTATTTTCAAATGTCTCAAAAGAACACAAAAGTCTGAAGTTTCTGAGAAGGTGGAATAGAGGTGAGGAAAGAGGTGGGGTTGGTTGGACTCGGGTTGTCTTTGAGCTTCCTTGGGCCCCAGAGCTTGTGTGCTACTGCTCCTTGAGTTGTCAGGATGGCAGAGGGCCCTGTGGAAGAGAAGTGCCTCTGGGTCAGGAAGGCACATTGTTGCTGTGCTCATGGCATAGACATGTGCTGTTTTCCCTTGTATGTAAACAGTGGGAAATGTGGGAGAAAGTCTTTCTTTGTAGAGCCTTTCTATGACAGCTAACAGTCTGTTTGCCGTTCAAGACCAAAATGAGGCCACGGGCCTGCCACCTGCCAGGGAGCACAGCAGCATGCCGCCATGAGACTCTTACCAAAGCAAAGGCTTTAACAGGAAGGGCAGGTTACTTTCCACCCAGCACTGGGAGACAGAGCCAGGTATGAGATTGCAGAGGACTGAGAGCCTTTAGGTTTGCAGGAACGCACTTGGCTGCTCTTAGGTGTGTGCGTATCCTTATCACTCGAATGTATTGATGCTTAACTTGGGGCCTCTGCACCTCTTGCAGTTTGGAGGCACATGAATGGTCTTTATCGACCCTGGGAAATTGTACAGAAAATTGTGGGTGAGTCATTCTTGGGAGGGGACCCCAGCTCCTCGCAAAGGTTCCTCTCTCACCCTGCCAAGGATAAGAACCATGGCTCTAAATTGCATGTTACTCTGAATGTCATGAGAACACTGATACTAGCTGAATGATTTAGTCTTGTAGAACAGTTGGCAGTTCTCTAACTCGTGCTGCCCCATACTGGGACATACTCACCTCTGTTGGAGGCCTGCAGGTGACCACAGCTCGCCTCTTGGTGACCATGCTCATGTGAAAGCTTGGTGCCCAAAAGAAAGATAAAAAGCATCTCTAAAGAATGAGAATTGTCCGAAAGGACTACGCAGTGTCTCTTTTCTGCACAGGGCATGGTGGTCCAGGTGTCACCCAACCTGTCCTGACCCATAGGCAGCTCCCAGTGCAGACTGTCCCACAAGGACAAAGTCTTCAGGTCTTCCTGGTTTAGGCTGCATCCAGCCAGTTCCAGTCTGTTCCAAGGGGCCCGCTGCAGTAGCTGATTGATAAGAAAAATCTAGATAAAGCCAACAATGTCCTTTGTCTGTAAGTCCCATACAATTGAGACTTAAGCTTTGCATAGTATTGCTGATTTCATAGCTGAATGACCCATGCCTAGGAAGTATTTTCAAAGCCGTGTTTCAGATTTGCCTTGTTTCTGCATTTTTGGCTCTGCATTGAAGGGGTTGACCCTTAAGTCATGTTCTTTCAGTGGAGAGGAGACCCTTGTACACCTCTTAAATTCCTCATCCCACCCAAAGGCACAGGTAAGGGGCAGACATGGAGGCAGTCCATATTCTTCCGGGGGAAGAGGGCCATTAGGGGAGTTGCCTTTTGTGGCCCTGTAATCCCAGTAATAGCAACTGAGGCACCTCTTCTGGGGAGGAGGCCTGAGCAGAGAGCCCCAGCTTCACTTTTCTGCTTCTGGGCCTGGAGAAAAACGGAGGCCCGATCCTGCAACCTCCATAGCATGTGGGCAGATGCTCTAGAGAGCCCCCGTGAGTGCTGATTTTCCTTAAGCCGGGGGTGGGGTTTGGCAGAGCTACAGACTGGTTGGCATGGTCTGTGAGACAGTGGGTGGGATGGTGTGAGTCCCATGTTCCTAGGGCTGAGTTAGACCATTCTGCATAGCTTGTGTGTGCAGCACAGCTGGCAGATGTGTGGCAGGTACCCCTGTGATTCTGTCCCTGAGAACACCTGCAACTGCTTTACTTTTCAGATCAGCCGGGAGATGATGGAGAAAATCCCAGTACTGAGGAGACTCCGTGCCCGAGAGCAGCAGGCTGGGAAGGATGTCACCCTCCAGGGTGAGCACCGGCATCCTCCGGAACCAGGCCGGCAGCAGACGGTGCCCTGGAGTGCTGGCAGAAGGCCCCAGGACACACCTGGGCCAGAAGCCAATTCCATGGAGGCAGCCTGTGGCTCCCCACTAGGGGAGGGTGCCCCGCTTGCAGCCGATGTTTATGTTGGGAACCTCCCCCAGGATGCCCGTGTGAGTGATCTGAAGAGAGCCCTGCGGGAACTCGGTTCCGTGCCCCTGCAGCTCACGAGGGAGGGCCGGCGGCACAGGGCCTTCCTCCGTTACCAGGACGCAGCCGCAGCCCAGCAGGCCATCTCCTGCTTGCAGGGCCTGCGCCTGGGCACTGACACCTTGAGGGTGGCGCTGGCCAGGCAGCAGAGGGACAAGTGACCTCATGGAAAGCCACAGAGCCCACTGCTGGTTCGCCATCCGCATCACCTGCCGCACCGGTTCCCGTGGCACTCGAGGCCTGTGTGGCGAGACGTGATGGAGCCTCTGTGTGAGCTGCTCGGGTCTCAGTGAATTCCCAGGACCTCCTGTGAGCTGGGAAGCCAGCTCGCAGTGCATCTCACAGCGCGCAGGAGGCTGCAGCCCCCTGTTCGTGCAGGCCTTGAGCCAGTTTGTATTTCCCTGGAGGGACACAGCAGATGGGCCAGGGACTGAGTGAGCAGCGAAGCAGGTGTGGGAAGTGTGAAGGTGATCTCGGGTTTGCAGGGTGGCCTCAACAAAAGATGGACAAAGGAGCTGGCTTCCTAGAGGCCATGACAGGGACCTCATGCTGGCACAGAAGGGTGCCCCTGGGCTCCAGGCTCCTGAGCTGGCAGCACTGCAGGGAGAGCTCCATTCACATCAAGCTCCTTTCCTTGGGCAGGAGCCCAAGGAGCTCCGCCCCTGGGTAAAAAGCATTTGCTGCAGCTCAGCTCCATTCTCAGGCCACACTTTGGGGAGCCAACCTCCCCTGGTCACCTCCCCAGCCACGCTCCTCCCTCTGTGGACACACACGCCAGGTCCTCAGCCAGCTGCCTGCACGGGAGCAGCTCTGTGCTGTGGAGAGACTGGCTCTGGGGGGACAGGTTTCATCCCAGCTCACATCACATTTGCCCAGTGCCTCATGTTTTATGGGTTTTGTTCCTCCAGTTCTGTTTCTGAAACACCAGCTGGAGTTTGGCTGAAGGGTCCTTTCTCAACAGAAGGCTTTTTGCAGTTGATCCTGGGCACCAAGTCAAAATAAGCATTTAAGCGGAGATTTTTTTTTTTTTTAAATGTATATGCTTTGAAAATTGAGTTTTTAGCCAGAGGGTTTTACTGAATGTTATTTTAAGCACCTTATTATGCCTCAAGAGGGGAGCCCTTGCGTGCAGTTAAAAGAAAATGTTCTCAGGACACTTGGTCTTCTCATTGAAAGGGCATTTTAAGGGCATTTTCTCATTGGTTTTACCATGAAAATCCTGTGGAGACTTTGGAAAGAAAATGCAGCCTTAGATTTGCTCATTAAATACCGGTTTCCTTTCCAAGCTGTCATGAATGAAGTGAGGGAGTGGAAGCGTCTGACAGTACCGCCCTGGGCCTGCTGTGTCCTTGGCCCCACCCCTGCCCGCACGGCTGGTCACGTTTGTCACTGGGCATTCGGCTCAGTGTCAGAGGCTGACTCAGCGCCCAGTTCAGAGGAGTCAGCTGGTCTCACTGAACTCCTCATCTTTTCTGCCTTTTTTTTTTTTTTTTTAAGAATACTTCTTTTATTGAAAGATTTTCATTTGTTTTTTGTTTACTTTTTCCCTGTGGATCTGCTGCCATTAGAATAGCAACTCCAGGAGAAGGGCCAGTGAGTCAGCCCCGCCTTGTCCACTCCCTGCCCTGCCCACAGCAGGAACAGCTCCTGCAGACAGGAGCAAGGCAGGACAGACAGGACTTGGGAATGGACCCACGGGACCGGAGAGGGAGAAGCTGGGTTCTGACTCTACCACTGGAACTCCTGTGTCCACCCCACCCTCAGACGGCGGCGTTCTACCAGTCAGGGAAGCCAGACTGCTGGGTTTTTCTGTCACTTTAGCCAGAATAATTCAGGCGTATTGATATACAGATAATCTGAAAGAGTTCCTCATTTTTCTATTTGTGGAACATTGTCTAAGAAAAACTAGAGTAAGCACCTAAAATAAAATCCCCCACACACGTCAGCCTGCACACCTTTCACTGTCCTGTCCTTCCAGGGAGGCCTGTGGGGACAGTTCTTGCTTCAATTAATACTAAAAAGGAAGAAGTGCGTAGAACAGCTTGTTTCTAGCTTCTGGAAAAGCATTCTCAGCTTCAGGAGGAAGCCCAAACCCCTGGCTTCCACCTTTCATGGCTCCACCCTGCAGTCCCACCACGCTGCTCAGGAAAACATGGGACACACCCGGCTGCGGACCCCAGGGTCTTCTTACCGTGACTCCACCCCTCAGGTGAGCGGAGGGCTGTCACACAGGTGCTGGTGTTCCAGGAGCCTGTATTAACATTTGTGTGGTTTTTTCACACGTGGTTTCCATGTGAAGTCAAGTCTGAGTGATGTAAGTAGTTCCTAATCGTTTCTCAGTAATGTAACAGAGAAGTGATGGGTGATGGAATAAGCACCCCTGAAACCTGTTCTTCAACGTGTTTGACACGTCTAGTCCTGCAGTTTGTTGAAACTGATGTTCGCATAGGGCCCCCTCTGTGCTGCAGGAGGACTCGGAGCCAGCAGTGTGGGCCGGCCAGAAGGCGGCGGCAGCAGCAGCAGCAGAATCGTCAGACCACCTTCACTAAAGCACCACTGGGATTTCCGTGGCATCTTTTCTAATGTTTGCCATTATGCATAAGTGAGTTTTTTTCTTTTTTTAGTATGACTTAAATCATTTTTGGAACAATAGGATAAAAACATTTTATAACCTTTGTCTCCTACTCCTGAAAGCAATTTCTAGAATGCTCAGGGTGAAGGCTTCATGTTCCACTTGCACAGGCAAATACGCCTGTTCTTGAGTCTGGCTCCACAGGCTGGGTAAGCAGCCCCCAGCACACCCTCTCAACTCTGTAGGGAGGAAAAATGCTCTCTCCAGTTTTGCCAGTGAAAAAACTGAGATGCTAAAGGAGGAAGTGACTTTGCCCCTGCCTGGTCCCACAGCCAGCTCTGGCAGAGCTAAGCCCAGTAAAGGTGACCTGCCCAAGCATACAACAGCCTGGTTCTAGCTTCTGGAAAAGCATTCTCAGCTTTAGGAGGAAGCCCAAACCCCTGGCTTCATTTCTCTTCCACCTTTAATGGCTCCTCTCTGCAATCCCACCACACTGCTCAGGAAAACAGCTGGGACACACCTGGCTGCTGACCCCAGGGCCTGAAATAGGGTAATCAGGGTAATTCCTCATCCGCTGCTGTGCAGTCTGGGGAGATCAGTTTTCCAGAAACAGATTTTAAGGCCCCCAACAGCATCTGCGCCAAGTGGACAGCAGGTGGCGCTGCCTCCTTGCAGAAAAACAGCCGAGCGCAAAAATCGCTGGGGCGGGTCACAAGCTGCGCTGGAGGAAGGACCCTGGTGCTCGGCTGCCTCTGCCCTTCTTGCTGGCAGGGCCACATGTCCCAGGCGGGGCCCGCTCAGCCTTTGGAAAAGGATTCTGTGACTGTGGCAAAAGGACACGGCTGTGCTCAGGAGGCCTGAGGGACTTGTCAGGGCCCCAGACCTAAGCCGGGGTAAAGCTAAGACTTGGGCCCCAGACTCTCTGCCCCCAGAGCTGTGCCTGCCTGTCTCATTACTTCTTTCTCAACCAGCCAGATGGGCAAAGCTGGCGCCCATCCTCGCAGCCCACTGCAGCCCCTCAGCTCTGGCAGCAGCTGCCCCCTGCACTCAGGGGAAGTGTCCTCTGGGCATTTTTGTCCCCGCTAGCTCTCAGCCAGTGGCCCCCGCATACCTCACCTCAGACACCCACATAGAGAAAGAAATGGATGGAGACACAGCACAGCAAATAAGAAAGGCAGAGAACAGCAGTCTGTCAGAATCACCAGGAAAGGGCCAGTGCAGAGATCACCATGAAGACTTACATTTTAGCAGAACGCTGGTGGGGAGGATGAAATGTCAGATGTGAGCAACGTTTAAAAGGCAGTAAAATCCAGGTGTAGGCATGGTGGCCAATTTAGCGTGAACATATGGGCCCCTCTGGCACCCGCAGCAGACATCAGTAGTGATCCCTGTGCCCCGCTCTTGCTGGCTGAGCCGCAGTGACTTCCACAACGTGTTAAGGCCCATTACCTGCTGACATGGACAGATGCAAAGCTTTCTGCCTTTTACCAAAGGAGCAAAGATGAAGGCTCCCTCCCATCCTCTCTTCCCGTCCTCCTGGGGTGGCCTGGCAGTATCCTCCCCCACAGGCCTTCAGGAAGCACCTGGCTTGCAGCTGACTCAGTTTCCAGAATTTTCATTCTCACAGCCCCTCCCCCCAGCTAAAATAACCACCTGAGGCTTGCCAAGCCCACTTCCCTCCATCCTGCTCCCTGTATAGATGTGTAAAGTATATGATGTGTGTATGTATAAAATATATTATTCAAGATATTAACTGCATACACATTTCACATAATCCTTGCAGTCACTTTTCAGAGGCCTACTTCGCAGCCAAGGTAACTGAACTGCGGAGAGGAGTCCGTGTGCCCACCGTGCCCTCGTGTGCAGAGAGAGAAGCGCAGACTGCCACGGCAGCTGACCACATTGAGCCAGCAATGCCCCCATGCCCGCCTTCGCTGGGGATTGTCCCCTGCTTGCCACCTGAGGTAGGAATAGGCAGACAAACCCAGGGGTGTTTTCTAGAAAAGCAGGGCCCTGTGGAGGGGTGGGCGGCTTCCACCGGATCACACGGTGCACAGGGCAGAGGCGCCGCGCTGGGGCCCAGGGCTGCTCGGTCAGAGGCCCCCGGGAGTCCCTGTCTTTTCAACTCAATATCCCTGATGAGACCGATGTTTAGGCCCCAACAGCATCTGCGCGAAGTGGACAGCAGGTGGCGCTGCCTCCTTGCAGAAAAACAGCCGAGCAAAAAAAAACGGATCCACACTTGTGGCCAGCCCACCATGCAACAGCCCCACACAGGCCTTGTCCTGTTGCTGGAAATAGCCCCGTATTTGATTGCATATGTAGATGGAGAAATTGAGGCATAGAGTATTGGCAGCTTGTTTCCTGGTGCATTTCAGAGATGCAGGTTCAGGGGATCTGGGAGCCCCTCTTCTGTCCCCCTCTCCCTGCCACCCACTGCCGCAGCAAGTCCCCTTGACTCTGCCAATCTCAGTGGTCATCCTGTGTTTTTACTGGAGACCATCTGGACACTTTTTCCCATAAGCAGAGATGTATGTCCATAAATTGCAAAGGTCGGAATGGAGCTGATGTGTGACCGCGTGGTGTGGGCATTTGGCACTCCAGATGGTTTAGCAACAATGAGCCCAGGCCCTTGAGTGCTGAATTGTGAGCAAATTAAACATCCCCACCCACGTTGGAGGGCAAATTAGCTCACTTAAGCCTTAGAAGAGTCCCAGGAAGCATGTACTACTGTTTCCATTTTCCAGATGGAAAGGTGTGTCTCAGAGAGGCTCTGTGACTCCCTAGGGTCTCACAGCAGAGTCGGCCTTGGCACCAAGCCCCTCCCTGCTGGGTGGGGGAAGGCTGTGCTCCTTACAAACGCCAAGCGTTCATCTCCTCACCACAAGCAGGGCCTCAGGGGTAACTCGAAGCCACCACAGCTTGTCAGAACAGAGAGCTCATTTAGTGGTTGAAGAGTGCCGTGTGGAGCCAGGCACACCAGGGTTTGCACCGTGTCCTGGCTGTGTGGCCTCGAAGTGCTTGCCCTCTCTGTGCCTAGTTTCTTCACTGTAAGCTCTTCACAGATCATTCACTGATTTAACCCTCACAGCAATGCTGTGGGGGCCTGCTCTGACCATTATCCCCAGTGTACAGATGGGGAAGCCGCGGCGAGCAGAAGAGAGACACCTGTGCTAGCGCACAAAGTTAAGAAGCGGTGGAGTTGGGACTCTAACCCAGGCCCTCCGACTCCAGTGGTCTGATCCACTAACTATATCCTTTATCTGCTCCTCCTGGAACCACGGGGTCTCTAAGTGTGCAGGGAGACCTGCGGCCAACAAGAATGGGGTTGGGAGTCAGTTTTACTTCTTTGTATCACTTTTCTAAAGTTTTATTATTTTTTTAAATTTGGAATAAGCCACATCATTTGTGTAGTTAGAAAAAGACTACAGTAACTGACCCCCTGACCAAAAAAAAAAAAAAAAAGTCAGTTACCCATTAACAGAGGTCAAAGGGTCTGAAACAGGGTAATCAGGTTTATTCTTCGCATCCGCGGCTGCCCAGCCTGGGGAGATCAATTTTCCTGATGAGACTAATTTTTAGGCCCCCAACAGCATCTGCGCGGAGTGGACGGCAGGTGGCGCTGCCTCCTTGCAGAAAAACAGCCGAGCGCAAAAATCCCTGGGGCGGGTCACAAGCTGCGCTGCAGGAAGGACCCTGGTGCCCTGGGCTTCCTCTTTTGTTTCCCAAGGGGGTCTTTGACCCTGAGCTCTCTCTCTGGGGTGGGCATCGCGGTGAGGGCCCCTGGTAAGTGAGCTGGTACAGCTGTCCTCCTGTCCCCGTAGACCATGTTTGCTGTGGCCTCACCCATCCTCCCCTGCCTGCCTCCCCTTGCCCTGCCCACTTTGCCGAGGGTGCAGCTCATTTAAGGTGATAAGCTTGCATAAAGGCTGCTTCACTTATGTAAGCCTCTCACATCAATGCTTTGGGAGGCTTCTGTACCTGGACAGAGACGGCGGAGACTGCAGTGAGGCAAGTATTCACTTATTTAAGCTTCATTGCTGTAATGCTTAAAAATAAGTGAAGAATTTTTGCTCACCCAAGCTGGTGACCCTGCGGAGGATCATGGCAGAAAGCCAGGACCGGCCAGTGCTTCCTGCCTCACGGAAACGTCATGCACTGATTGATCTACGACATGTTTGCGGGGAAGTATCCAAAACAGAAATGTTTCTGTCCTCTTCCAGGGACGTTTGCAGACTCAGCACACTTCCCCTGTCCCAAACCCAGACCTGCTGAGGAACATGGAGTCGGGGTCACAGGGGGGTCCCTGCTTGCTTCCGGTGTGCTGGCGCCGGTTCCCATAAGATGACTGCAGTGGCTGGTCACAGCACTAC